CCTTCATAAGGGAAGAATCCGGCATTGACTTTAGCCATATTATGTTGTTTAGATCCAGCAGCCACAGCAATATAACTTTGAGGTTGTGGATCAGAAAATTCAGGCTCTATAATTATGAGAGACAAAATATAAAGAAAAATATATTTTCATTAAAACAATTGATATAATAATAATAATAATAATAATAATAATAATAACTTACCAAGTTCCATTAAACCTACACAAATATCAGGTGTACTCTTTTCATTACCACTACCAATAATGATACCATCACAAATAAGGAATAATAATTTACGATCATCAGGATATTCAGTAGCAGCCATAGATTCACAAGTACATCTTATACCAACTTCATCTTCAGAATAACAAGTAACAAGCAAAATGGTAAACAAATCTTTTCCAACATCGTCCATTGTCATTCCTTTTCTAACAGTACAAGTCCCAGGAGTCCAAGGTTTATCAGACATGGAATTGCCGGATTTTTTAACTTTTGGTTCAAGAGCAAGACGATGAGAGATAAACCAATCAAAAACACAAGCCATAAAAAATCGACATAAGACGATACTCAAAATGACAGTTAATGAAACGTATAAGAAAAGTTCAGAGGTGAAACATCCAATTGTTTGTTTATCAATATTTCCTGCATAATACTTGTTAACAAGACAAGTAACAGAAGCTTTTAAATCAGCTCTACCAAAGAAAAGACGTGTAGCATCTCTTCCATAAGTTGTGTTTAAAACAGTACGAATGACAGTGTCCATAATATCACCTGGAATTGGTTTTGGGTTTGCAACCATATAATTTTTAAGATTAAGTACACTACCATCAATGACTAAATAGTTTGTTATGTTCTCAACTTGATTCCAATCAAAACCAACTTTTTTTGTAGTGTTAACAATATTATATTCTTTAAAAGTGGTTTCATTAATAGGATCAAGTGGACAAGATGGAGATACACAAAGTGGTAGTTTTACAGCAGCAAATTGTTGAATTGAAGAATCTTGACAACCAGGAATTTTAGAGTTATCACGTAAAAAGGAATTTGTAATATCTTGACTATTTTGTACCTGAGACAAATTTTGAAAATTAAAATTTGAGGGACTTTTTGCATTAGATACATCGAATTGCCAACCAAGAACACCAAGATGTCCTAAAATAAAATATTTAAATTAGAATTGAGACAAATGACGCGTGTAATATATAATTATTGGATGCTTTGAATTTCAATAACTTTTCTGATAATCCACAGGATCACATGATAATATATCAGCGAAAGACAAAAATACGGAAAGTTATTGGTGGTCCATTTGCATTCAGTAGGATCACATGACAATAATTTAACCAGAAAAATAATTAGGTTATTCTAGTTGTAAATTATTGGTGCTTCGTTTGCATTCAATAACGACGAATTTATTTGGCAGTTGTTTCTTTTTTTATATATGAAAAAATCATTACTTGCATTATTTGGCAGTCATGGACTGTCAAATGACTCAAGTTACTTTTTAAGTCCAATTACGGTGGACTGCCGATAATTCGAGCTATTTTTTTTTGAATATTAAAAATAACTACCGAATAATCTAATTATTTTTTAAGTCCGATAGTAGATAATGTAATTTAAAAAAAAAAGAAAAAATTACCTGGAGCTTCGCCAAAGCTTTTAAATAATTGGGGATTACTTGCTTGATCTGGAGGACATAGCACAGCAGCAAAACCGACCGTTAAGAAAGCGACAGTACCACCCATTACAGCGGCAATAAAGCATAAAGCAACTTTTTCACGCCAAGCTTGTTGTGATGGTTCATCATGAAGACCACCAATAGAAGACAGGAGTGCACCAGGAGCCCAGAAAGTGACAATTTTAGAGAAAAGCACCCAAACGTCAAAAGATTTTTTTTCTTTACCGGGCAACATAGGTGCAGCCGCCTGGTACCTTTCAGGTTTGATAAGCGTTTTCCTGCGGTCGACCCTTGAAAGCCTCGCTGAGCCATAACCCTCTTCCATTTTTTTTGTGAATTATATAAGAGAATGGTTTGGATAAATTGTTTGCGCGTTAATTATGATAAAGAAAAACGTGAATGGAATGAAATGAAATAGAAGTATAAACGGGGAAGTATTTTTTTTTTGTTTTTTTTTGTCGTGGCACGAAAGGTTAAGAGATTTTTGAGAAATTATTGAAAAAAATAAAAGGGGAAATGGTAAGCGAGGAAGAGAAAAGGAATGTTAGATGGGGGGGAAGGGAATGGTAGAAGGGGAATACCAACTAGGCTATTCCGAAACGCAAGTTGGAGGCGAGTTATTTTCTATTTTTTTTTACTGTACAAGAAAGATAGATGAAGAGCGACGTTATAAAGTTTCGCACATTTATCGAAATTGATGTGTAACTGTTGTGGCACCATTAATGTTAATTAAATTCATAATAGTAATATTAAAATAATTTCAATATGAATACTGATACGTAGTTACATGCGAGGTATAAATTGTGTGCATTGTGCTTAAGACAAATGCAGTCAGACGCATTTTACAACCAACCAACATCCTAATTATTAACACAATTTTGAATATAGTCCTTGTATATTTAGTTCACAGCTTCGAGAATGAAATCATAACCGGGATAATATAAAGAATGCTAAAAATAAACAGCTAGCACCTGATTTGTTCGCATGCGCAGAAATAATCTAGTTAACCAGCATGGCCCGTGCCGATAGAGTACTATAACTTTTATTGGTACAATTAATAACGAATTTGATGGAAAGCTTTATATAAGTCATTAAGGGTCAACATTGGTCCTCCAAAAATCATCAGAACCGCATGCATTTAGGAATGAATATCCTATTAAAGAATTAATTCTCTAAGATTTCATATGTTATCGTGTTTCCTGAAAATATCTACTTGTAAAAAATGGACTTAGTCGTCACATATACCATCTAAATATATTTTATTATATATATATATATATATATATATATATTACAGTACAATTTAAAACCAGGAGAGAAATATTGTGCTTTATTTTGTAGTATAACATTAGTGTACTAGAGAGAGATACAGTAATTTGAATTCACGAAACGAAAAAGATACCATTGAATTATAATATCGTTTTTATTTTACTCTGCTTTTCATAATACTAAAATATTTTAGGAAACGTCATCGTCTTCGAAAATTCAAAGATACGTATCATATGGTAGTTTCAAAGAGATTTCGGGAGGCATTAAATTTATGAAAACAGCTGCAAAGCAAGTAGACTTTTTTTCTATTGCAGTATCGATATGCATATATATTGCCTTATACTGTCTCTTGACGATCCCTGACAAAAAAATACTTAAAAAACAAACGAAACCTTTATTCATAGAATAGTCTCAGGTTGGCTAAACTTTTTTGAAAAAAAGCAACTCAAATTAGATCTCTTGCAATATAGGTGATACCTATTCTATCAATTGATTAATTATACTTTTTATTAATAGTCTCACCTATACTGCAAGAGATCCCTCAAATTATTGTTACTGCATATTTGTTCATGTGTTCGATCACACTCCTTCAAATTAAATCATTCTTAGACAGAATCTTTTAAGTCTACGGTTTATTTCGATGTATCGAATTAATTATTAATTGTTTTACAAGTTGTTTGCTACACCATTTTCTTAGCTTCTTAAATTAGCTCACTTTTAAATTTATTGTTACTCAATTTACATTAATTCCGATCGATTTGCATACGTACGTACATACGTAAATAACTGATATGTACGTATCGTACACGATTTAGATTAAATTGTACACGATTTAGATTAATTTAAACGATCTACACCGAATTTAGTTAAGTAACTCTTAATTATTTATTAATTATATATGACAAAAGATATCAAATATTTTAATTTTATAATCTAGTAATTTATTTGACAATTTATTTGATAATTTATTTGTATATATATTGTACCATTATGTATGTATAAATATTTAAAAAAGTTAAAACTTTTTAAAGGTATTACTAAATTATACTTGAGAAATGGGTAAATCCTAGCACTCATAAAATTACTTGATATTAATTAAAATCGACCAATATTAGGAAATAAAGGTATAGACTATGCATTTTCCATATTTTTAATTAGTTCTAAGACTGGTTTAGCACACATTTTTTACATTTTTTTTTTTTATTTTCACGCATCATTTTAGCCAAAATTGATTGGCAAAATTACAGAGGTGGAACTATTTGTTGTAGTGTGTTAGTAGTACATGATCGCGGAAGTGATCACGGAAAAGATTTAGAAAACAATGTACAGTAAATTTTTTCCATATTTTGGGAATGGCTAAACCATTTTTCAAATTGTTTAGAAAAATATTATAAATTGCAAATTTCGTTTAAGCTCAGAATCGTCGAAAACGGAATTTCCGTTCACGAAATATAATTGTTACATAATGGATGATCGCTTAACAGCGATGCACCGATACTCTAAGAATGATTCGTTTTCTATGATTTTGTACTTAAATGAATACTAACATTCATAGCATTCGTTGAAGATTAAAATTATTGAAACCGGATTGGCCTTCTGTAAAATATCCCAGCATTAAACTAATAAAACGATTAGCTTATTTGTACTGATTTCTGACTCTAATTACTAATTTTGACATTCCTTATTGTTTATGGTCATATTTCGAAAATGGTTAATCCAATTTTTAATCGTTTTTAAGTTTACAATAAACAAATTATATAGTAAAATTATTAAAATTGGATTAACTATTCTCAAATTGTAAAAGATAAAATATGTACAATGATTTTCGGATCTTTCTCGCGATCACTGCAGTTTAAGACGACATTAATATTATTGGCTAATGTAAATCAATTGCCAAGCTAGCTACCTACGTACGTACCTTGTATAATGTAACGTTTCACTAATAAAAAAATTAATGTAAAGGTCACTTTAATCTTTGAAAGAACGCCTATACTTAGTATGCAAAATAATCAAAAAATTAAAACAAAGAACGCCTATGCTTAGTATGCAAAATATTCAAAAAATTAAAACAATCAACAACGTTCCTGAGGACTTGGAATCATATATTCTGCTATTTCATGTGAGCTAATTTTTGTAATTTAATATAAATTATTTACAGGGGATAATTTTTTACTAGCCATTTTTGGATTATTTTACGATCAAAAGATTTGTGCTATTCCATATCGATATTAAACCACCAGGACTGTACATCTATTTAAATTTTTTTTAGATATTAAATTTTTGTATGATATCACAAATAGTTTAGATTTCATAGTATATCTCATACCCATCAGCTTATTTAGTTGACTGGGGATAGTTAAAACTTATATATAGCTAAATATTGTAATACTTATCGGCCAATTTTTGGAATTACGTATTAATATTAATATTTATCTTTTA